TCAAGGTGGGCCAGGAATAGAACCCGGAACCTTCCTGCTGCAAGGCGGCAGTGCTTCCCACTGCTCCACTGAGCAGCCCTGAATTTTAAAACCCAATATCTGTAGATATATTAAAAAAAAAAAAAAAACTGGTTTCATTCTCTTTCTTTATCAGATCTCTAATATTTTAATGTGTATTTTAATAAAGAAAATAAACCTTTCTTCTAAAAAAAAATCCCTGGTTGAAGTGGATAGAAAAAGCAGCCAATGCCAGAAAAAACAGAAAAAAAATCTCTTTCCTCCAGCTTGAATAAAACGATAAAGCATCTCCTTTCTGAGGCGTATCGCCTGGAAGCTGCTGCTTTTTGTAAAGGATTTATTGCGTTATTGTCGCCCACTGTTTACCAGTCCGTTCAGGTAAAAGACACAACAATCCGTGTAAACAGGTGTCATCTCCGTGTCAGCCGGACACCACAGCGTGCTGGCCGACTGAGCCGTTGGCTCCGTTGCTATGGCAGAGCCGGGGATAATGTAATTAGACGGAGGTGTGTAACCATAGAGATGGAGGCCCTCACGCTGGCTGCGGCGGGGATTCGTTTCATCATGTCCTCGTCTCTCCGGCTGAGATGTACTGGGTGTCTGGGGAAAAGGTGGACACACGGGTGGAGAGCATCTGGTCAAAGGAGGGATCGCAGCGTTGCTACCTTTTGTTTTATCACCACCTGCAGCATTAAATTTCCAACGAAATAAAGAGAAACAGGTTTTCTGCTCTTGTTGTTTGCTTTGTAATCATCTCAGGTAGACTACCTCAAATTAAAAGCTGTTAAACTGACAGAACTTCTGCTAACAAAATGAATCAGTCTAACTTTTTTTAATTTAGTTTGTGTTTAAACGGTGTGGCAACTAAGAGAACGTCTATTTATTTATTCAGTTTAATTCAAAGCAATGCTGTTGTGTTTAGATAATTAAATCCCTACTGCAGAGATCTCATTTAGACAGCATGAGTCGTTTTATGGCTTTGCTCGAGTTATTGGGCGTAAACCAAAGGTTGATCAAATTAGGAATCTCATCTTTCCAAATCCACAAGGCAAAACAAAAAGCACAATTTTGTGCGTACAAAGTTGGCTCTTATTTGATTTAAGGATTATGAGGCAGAGCTTCAAAGATTGCAAATGAGGAGCTCTAAACTGAGTGGGTAAAAAAAAAAAACCTTTTCTATAATAATCGGGCAGGTTGCAGGTGGTCTGCAAAGATAAGACATGGAAACCAGGCCTGTTCAGCCCCATTTAAATGAGCAAACCGCCACAGGCTGAGGTGATTGGGGTAATAATCTTTAAAACAAATAATGATAAATAGTATTAATATTATTTAAAGTGCACTCTACTAGGGAATCAAAAGTTCAATACTCAGTTCCTGCATGCAGGTAAAAAACTTTTTATGGTATTGATACTAAAGACAAGTGTTATTTGCATATTTGTTTTGCTATTCCTAATTTTAGATATCTGCATTATTTAAATAAATTAAGAATAAAACCTCTAAGTATTCTTAAACTGCAATGTATTATTTATTGTTCCTTTATTTGCACACTACACTTACATTGTAGCATCTGTAATTCTGGTTTCAAAACATCCTCCAAGCTGGGATTTTTTTTCCCATGTCAATAAAAATAGTCTTATCATTTTTATCGTTTTTTTATTTCCATGATTTTAAAAAACAGTATCAAGTAATATTTTATCTGCCCATATAGATATCAGTTTGACATTTTTGTATCTTGAAAGCCCTACATTCAGCATATCTAAAGGCAATAGAAAGAAAAGGGAAAAAGGATCCAAATATTAAAACATTTAAAAAGTAAAGTTTAAGTTGGTACACAGACTGTAAAACAAGCTGAAAGCATAACGAAAATTATTGAATTCATTAAATAACAGTGAACGTATTAGTTTTAGGTATACTGTAGATAATGATCCATTGATCATTCCTTGTTGACCGAATTTTTCCTTTAAGCGTATACATCTGTGCTGATCTAATTGTCAGTTAGCAGAAACCGGGCCTCCCTGTCAGAGTACAATAGGGCTTGGGATCCGCGTTGCATTGTGGGAAGTGGCGGCCATGTTGACGGCTACGTGAACGTAAACATAGCTCTGATACAACGTTGTTGTTGAACGAAGAGACAGAGAAGTAGAGAGAAAAAAGATGTTAAAATCCCGAAAAAGATCTGGAATTTACCAGGACACGTTAAATAGAGAAGCCAGGGACCGGTATGTTGACAAAATCAGCATTATTACAATTAACTACAAGTCCTTGGAGTCTCATGTGCAGTTCACCAATGGATGGGTTCAGGAGCTGCAGATCATAAAGCCAGCAAACAGTGGGAACACAGTAATCCGTACGAAGGTAAGCTGTGCTTAGACGGGCTCTGGAACCTGCTAGTCTATTAATTGCTAACCGCTAGTGCTAACAACCACTCACGCAGGTAATGTACTTTTAACTAGCTGCTATGTGTTTCAAATGTGTAGTTAGTAACATTAACTGCCAACCCTCCCTAAACCCTCCGGGTTTCTCACGTATTTGAGCCTTTTCCCGCTGCCGTTTTTATTATTTTCTCGTAAAAGATCCCAAATTTGAAGGAAAGAAACAAAGTAGGCTATAAAATAAAACCGTGCATCTTTAACTTACCAGAATGAAAATGCAGGGAACACACTCTCATTGAT